ACAAAGAAACGATAAGACGGAGGAAAATAGAGCAATATGTCAGACATTTGAGTGGAAACAGACAGTGAGACAGCAGTGTAAACAGGCCAATTTAAGAGTGAGTGTTAACAATTGTTATAGCGACCCTTCCCTGGCTCTCTGAAACTTTTTATAACTCACTGGTGCTAAAACAATCAAACATCCAGACAGACAAAACAACCATTGAGAGAGTTTATATCATGAATCGACTGTCCTCCTCAAAGTGTCTGGGTGGGAATGAGGGTTTAAAATGGGGGTGTAAAAACTCTACAGACAATTACATTGCCCTCCGATTTAATAGCTAAATTACAGGCGCAGCTACAAACCATGTGGCATAAACATCCACAGCCTGTTGAAAGCACAGCAACATTGATCAGTGATGTGCATGAATACAAAACTCAGTGCAAGCAGGCAATGATTGTTGTAATTAATTAAAGCTAATTATCACCCTGAAAATGTTTTGAAACCATTTACCTTTTTCGGATTGAAAGTAAAGAACTTCTGTTAATGTCAACATGAAATGCCATTTGCAAACCATGCACTTGTGAGTTAAATGGGATGTTCAACAAGAAAAAAAATGTTGGGTGGGGCCTGATTTTATCCATTGGGCATTGAATAGATTGTATAAACTGGTCTTGGACGTCGTTGGTGGGGAGGGGCTGATAAATATGACAGCAAAAAAAATATTACATTCTGAGATTTGTTTTGCTTTGGAACCATGCACAATAGGATAAGGAATGTGGATTAGGAAAGTACATGGGGTACATTCAGATTTTTATGTTGACTTCAACACTAAAAAGCAAAAAAGTAAAAATAACCATGTCATGTACATAAATTTGGATAATATTATTACTAAAATAAAATAGTCTGCTATTGTTTAATACTGTAGCTGTGAACCCAGGGCAAATAATAATAATAATAATAATAATAATAATAATAATAATAATAAAGAAAACAATTCTGATGGTCTGCCATCACATACATTTTTAACAGACTGTTTGCATTATTACTATGATAGTGGGGTAGTTTTGCTTTATAGCCATGAAAGTAAGAGACTCGATAATAGCTAGAACATTATCAGTGCTGGTAAACATTTCACAAACCCAAAATGCTTCGGATAGTTTCATTTCAAGTCTTTTTGAAACTTTTTTTTTATATTAGCAATAAGAGATGGCAAGAGGATGTGGATGTAACATTTATGACAGCTGTGAGTTTGACGGAGCAACTCTCTTGTTAGATAAATTATGCTGGCAAATTTCACAAAACTCCAAACAACAGTTGCTTTTTCTTTCTAACTCCAGCCTGTACTCTGAATGTGCTGTAGGATTTTTCAATACATAGATGTTGAGAAAGGGTAATTTGCTGCTTCTAGCTGCTGTTATGTAATGCTGATGTGAAATATTAAACATGAAAAGCTCAGGACTGCCAAATCTATGCTAGAGAAAGTGCTTTTTGTTAACCCCCTAAACTGCACGCAGGTGGCAGACCTTACATCTTGAGCAGGGTGTTCTTGCAAGAGTATGGAGTTTTCTTTCTCCCTGGTGTGTGTGTGTGTGTGTGTGTGTGTGTGTGTGTGTGTGTTTGAGGTGGTGGGAGATGGTTGAGTGTGTGTATGCATGTGCATTTGCGTATGCATTTTTCCTGTTTCTCAGTGCTTCGGATTCCATAATTGAAGACTAGTGAAACGCAAGCAAAAGGCCAATAGCTGCATCTGGTCCGAGAGCATGTTAAATTCAGTGAGAATGTCTGGGGCAAAAAATGCTTTTTGCTAATGCACAAATTCTTTTACTGCCTTGGGTAAGCATACATCAGTTCTTTTAGCAGATGTGGCAGATATTTACAGTTTTTTACTTTGTAATGCATACAGGCTCCTATCGCACGAGTACTGTGGTGGTACCGTGATGGTATCAGATGATGATTCCATGGTGCTTTGATAAATACACAGAGACAATATAAGGAGGAGACGTTGTTGTTCAAGACTTTCCTAGCTCAACATTTTTTATGGCACTATATTAAAATGTCTGATTAAAAATTATAGAAAATGACTTGGCCGTATATACAGTATATTTACTTTTAGTATCAATCATGAAAATATGTGAATTAATGTCTTTTAATGTACTCATCACATTCTGTACAACAGTTGTTTCTGGACTCTAAATTTGATTGGACAGTCAACATTCCAAGGATGTTGATTTACAGTCCAACAGAACTGAAAGTTTTCACTGTTTATGTCACTGTTTGATTTTTTCAGTGACTCATTCTGCAAGTTAAATCGTTACGCCAGTAGGTGGCGACATACGTCATTGAGGCTGTCTCATTTCAGAAAAGCAACCATTAAAAATAGACTGATATTTGTTGTGAGGTGTAATTACTGTAAGTGTAGTGTAATGTTTTTTTGTTGTTTTTGTTTTTCCTTAAATAAACCATCTTTGGTGGCTTATCTGGCTGAAAAATGTAAACTCTGGAGGGCACAGTCTTTGAAATGAGACACATCAAGTGAATTTATTTCTGAGAAAGTAATTGAATCATTTCTTTAGAGGAGATACAATAGACAAAGTAACTGGCTGTATTGTGTTTAAAATAGAACTTAAGTTTTTGTATTCTGAACTGCTGTATAAAAGCAGTATCACTTTTACACTAGCCATTATGTAAAAATAAATTTTTTAGCACAAGTTCAGCTAAAGAAAACAATTTTATATCAAAGTTTTCAGATTTTATCTTGAAAAGCAGCTGTGGCAATTTCACTCTTTTCCCATTTAAGTATATCAGAACTGTACCTCCGTTACCTAACATGCTGCCGAGGACTGACTTGCCTTAAAGGAACTTTGCATGTACCACAGTACTGAATGATTACACACCCTGGTACTTCAAAGAAGACCATGATATTACTATGGTACATGCCCAAAATACTATGGTAATAATACCATGGTGCATTTTTTTGTCAGCTAAGACTCACAGTCTAATCCAACATTTCTCAGTCAAAATGAAAAGATCCCTCTTACCAGTCCTTCTTTTATACATTGTACTTTGATGGTCAAAGCTGAAGCCATTATCTAAGTGGATTATAAAAACATTCCATCAGCTTCAACTGAAACCTTTTTCAGGCTTCCGGTAAAATGGCTCTGGATGCAATGAACACATGTTGTACATGAGTAGAGGAAATTGCAATGACTAGGAGGAACCGAGGCATTTATGCATAGAGTGCATGACAGTGCGGTGAGGTGCATCTTCATTTACCGCAGCTGAGGTGGGCAAGGCTAAGATAGATGTAGTGTGTACTTCTGATCTAAAGATCAGTGTACTGATGATCTGAAAATCCTTATAAGAGGGTTTGCACAAAAGCGCTCAGTGAATTTATGAGCAAACGAGCTCCACCCGACTCTCCAGTTGCCCTATCGCTGCACCTGCTGCCTCTTTTTCTCAATAACGCCAGTGTTTTTGCTGTGAGCTTTAAATGCGCTTATATCAGCACTCATGCTCGAGGCCTGTCATCTCCACGCACCGCTGCAGAGTTTCCTCTGCCTGCGATCTGTCTTTGATCACAACTCTCTGACTGATGAATGGCACCATGTAGTCGGCATTTCAGAGGGTAAATATCCATTAATCGTTGGGCATCCATCTCTGGGCGGCCTGGCTGAGGAATGAATGAGAATCGGCCTCGCTGACGCCAGGTCAGTGCTATTCTGAGCTAAACATGGAGTCCTGCATTATTCATATACCTGCTTTGTGAACATATGCAAATCTGATCTCCATACTCAAATTTTTCTAACATAACCACGGTCCCCTGCAAAAGGGAGAGATATTTGATCTCTTAGGCTGAAGACTACATCAACGGATGCATGCAGAGGGTCCTAAAGAGCTTCTTTAATGGTTAGCCTTGAACTATACTCTTATTGTCATGTTGATGTTCACAATTCACAGATTCAATTAACAATTCATACATTACATATATAAAACATGCTACAATGCATCATGTTAAACCCATAATCCACATTTACTATCTGCATCCCATATTGCATGTTAACTGAATCGCGGTTGCAAAACTATTTTATTTGCATATTCAGATTCTCTCCCCGAGGTGATCATCAAAGTGTGAAAGTGTGCCGTTAAACATTCATCAAGATGAAGAATTACCCACCTCCATAACAATGTGAACATAACACTGAAAAGAATCAGATCTTGAAGACTGGAAGTGCTGTATCCTAATTCGGAAATCTCTTTAGATCAGCTTCATCCATTTAATGCAGTAAATATTCTGTTAACATTTGTTTGGAAATAGGCCATGTTTACATTATCAGATAGGAGCCTCGCAATTTGCACAGAATGAGTTGAGGAATGCTACTGACTTTGTTTGGTCGTGGCTAAGTGGATGTAAGAACCCGCAGATTGCTTTCTTATCAATTATACATTCACTGGGACACTGCTATCCACTCTGCTTACCAAAAGAGAAGACCAAACGGCAGAGGAAGAAAGATACAGATGCAACAGCAACAAAATACAATCTCACACATCAGCATATGATCTCAGGAAGATCAACATCTACATGGCTTACGGTTTGCAACATTGTTAATTTAGATTTTTTTTTTTTTTATTATTGTTGTTTTCTTTTAGTCATGTGTTATGTCTTTTTTGGTTAAAATTCCATTTAAATTTAGTCAGCAGGCTAATTTTGTCATGCCGTTGTCATTAAATTCAAGCCAACCAATAATAAAATTTATAAAAAAATTAAAAAAAAACATTATTTAATCAATACTTTATTATTATATCATATATAATCATTATTTATTATTTTATGTTTAATACTTCAAAACTGTTATTCCTTTCATCAGTTAATTCTTTGATCACTAGGTCAGCACAAAATCAGCCTGGACCAGCATGAAAATTCAGTTTAAACTGGGAAGAAGTAAATCATGATCAAGTTCAATCCAAATCCACACAAAAAATAAATGAATAAAAAATAAAATAATGATTATGCTGTTTACCTTAAACAGGCGGAGGATATTAGCCACCATTATAGACACGGAACTGGACGACGCTCCAATGACACCCACCACCCTTTCTGGCTTGGTAATGATGGGTGATCCTCCACCTTGGCACTTCACATCCGTGCCATCCTTTTCGATGAGGGCCTGGACAAAAGTGAGAGACTGCTCCAGAGCGTGTGTGTCCCGCGAGCATGTGTCCAGAATGCGGGCGCCCAGCGTGATATTTGGGAGCAGTTCATGGTCATTGTTGATGCGGTCCAGAGCAAAGAGCATAGCTTCCAGACGATGGATTCCTTTTTCCTTTTTTAGCTCACCGCAGGGTTTGCCCTCGTGACCCCGGGCGTGAACTGGAAACAGGCCGCCCAATGAAATATCCCCATCAATCCGGATAGAGTTTAGATGTGTGTGGCCTGGACCTTTGGGCTTCGCAGCCAAAGCAGTCAGGAAGAGGTAGAGAAGAACCAATGCTGAGCCCTGACAGCGACGGTTGGTCCATCCAACTATTTTGCCCATGGCTGAAGACATTGTAGCAAGCCGGTTTCAACCAAAGTGTGTCTATTTTTGGATCTGAGATGTGTCACAACTGAGTTGACAGGTCAATGGAGACACCCTTTGACAGGGCACAATCTTTTAAAGTTCATAGTTATGTCACGTAGCGATAGATTTGTAATTGAATGGAATGCTCATCAGGTTCTTTAGGCAGCAGTTCTGCATCAATCCGCTTTATCTCCTGTCAAGGAACTTCCTCTAGAGTCCTTTGATGAGATTAAATGTTAACCGTACGTCTTTGGTCCCTTGCTCCCTCTAGGTTTCCAATCGCCCTGTCTCCTAGTGGAGGGGGTTGGGGGTCTTGTGCTATGAACACAAAGCTTCACCAACCTGTGAGCCTTCCTGGAAAAAGAGATAGGAAAAAATGAGTAAGCACCAAAGAAAGGCAATACAGTCAGATGTTTCTGTATCAGTATGGGCATTGCAGCACTTATGTTTTTTTCCTTAAACTTTCCTTTGCAACATCTTACTGAAAACAGCTTCTTACTGAAAACCCCCTTGCTTTTTCTCACATGCTCCCTCTCTCTTCCTCTCTATTTTGAATTTAAAACGTTGCTATGGGCTCCCAATGTCGAGAGAACTATGCTTTGGCTCCCACATGTCTCTTTTCAACATTCTGAATGAAGGAGCTGCATTCCAATGAAGAGCTCCTATCCAACGAGAGAGAATTATCTATGTAATGTGCTGTTTTCGTTTCCCCCCCCATCTGGAATGACAAGCTCTGATAAAGAAAATGAGTTTGGTTGATGAAAATTGTTCTGCACACACCATATACTGACAAAAGGCAGACTCTTTAATCTTTTGCCACTATGGTCACCGCAGGATATTTAAGTTCTTGGAATTAATTGTTATTTTGGTAACCTCGGGGTCATTAATTACTTTAAGAAATGAGATTTAATTTGTATGACACTGATCTTGATGTGGGTTGAGTTGCTTCCCATAACTTTGACAGTCACTGTTATCATTACTCCTTTAATTGTTGCCTAATTGGGTTAAAATTTACATACTGGAATATTCCATTAGCTTTCTGTGTTTTCAGAATGCATGCGCATATATTTGAGTTGCTGATTCTTCTGAACAGAAATTTTGATTTGATGGTGAGTGGCAAATACACCAAATTAATCTAGACATATTTTTAATGCTTACACATTATCGTTATCATGCACCATCATGATTCACTGCTTGACTTTTTTTCACCTCCTCCAGCACACTGAAGATATATTTTCTCTGCCATTTCATATGTATCTATTATTTTGGCAGAGTTATACATAGCTTTAAAATCTCCCTTTATATTGCTCTTTATGTACAGTACTGTATATTTTTAAATGATCACTAAATGCACAGTTAAGGTCTTGGATAGTTTCATAAAAATACTGTGCATTTCTTATTTTCAAGCCTTGATCCCAGCAAATCTATGTTGGCACTGTTTGGTTCACCTCACTTATTTACAAGGTGATAGAATAAATCTCAGAAATTCTCTTTTATTCCTTTGTAAGTCTTACTGACCTGCTCTCATTCTTTCTTTTTTTTCTTATCTCATCCTCTCTTCCCACCTCCTCCCCTATTAGTACACTATCCGCTGGCTCCACACTTCTCCTCCAGTGCACAGGCAATTCAAAGAATTACAACAGGGCCTCTGAAGTGACTCTGAAATGCTTTTTCAATGTTGGCAAATGTTCTTTGATATTAAAGAGTGAACTGGGGAATCCTTCCTCTGGGAAAAGTAGTTCGTGTGAGAGACCACGGTAAGGCTTGGAGCACATGTTCCACTCTCCCACGCTCTCAGCTAAGGGAAACATTGCCAAACACGTGAGAGATGGAACACAGCCTAGATTCAAAGGTGTTTGTCTTGAATGATTTACCTTTAGGTGTTGTTAACAGTGTTGGGGAGTAACTACAGTGCCTTGCGAATGTATTCATACCCCTTCATTTTTTTCACATTTTGTTTTGTTGCTGCCTTATGTTAAACTGCTTTAAATTAGTTTTTTTCCACAACGATCTACACTCCATACACCATAATTGTCAAGCAAAAAAAACAGGTTTTTAACATATTTGCAAATTTATTAAAAATAAAAAACTAAAATGATTCCATTGCATAAGTATTCATACCCTTATCTGGGACAGTTGAAATTTAGCTTAGGACCTGACAGAGCTTGAGAGGTGAAGAATGGCAGATAATTGCAAAATGCTGATGAGCAAAGCTTGTCGCATCAAACAAAAAAAGACTTGAGGCTGTTAAGGTACTTCAGCTAAATATTTAGTTAAGGGTATGAATTCTTATGCAACGTACTTATTTCGTTTTTTATTTTTAATAAATTTACGAAGACAATTCTGTTTTTGCTTTGTCAGTATGGTGTATGGAGTGTAGACTGATGTGGAAAAAAAAGTAATTTAAAGAAGTTTATCATAAGGCAGCAACATAACAAAATGTAAAAAAAAATGAAGGGGTATGAATACTTTCACAAGGCACTGTAAGTAGCAATGTTCCAAACTGAACTATATTTTTCAGTTTTATAGCTTTTTCCAGAATTGCAGCACTTTTTCCAAAAAAAAACAAAAAAACAATAATGTTATAATGTCTTAGTGTTTAGCTTGACTATAGCTTAAGTTCAGTAGCTACAGCACCAAGTCACTTCCCCAACACTGGTTGTTAATAAACTCCCTTAGATTTTTAAGGCAAAGTCATGCTTTTTAGATGGCTGTTGACCCATATGAAGCTGTCAGCATGATCTGCGATCATTGCTGTGATTTGCGGGGAGTGTCAGCCCTACCACAGAAGTTAATTTAATTAATTAAAGTTAATTGACACTGCATGGCTGTCTGAGGATGTAATGGAGATATAATAAGTGCTGAGAGTTTCTATCAGCAATAGGCTTGGAAACGATAGTGGATACCAGCAATTACACATTTTTGCTCTATTTGAGGTATTTTTCAGTTATTTCAGATCTGGAGTGCTAGAAACATTGTGCTGTATTAATTAGAATATTCAGAATTGACTGAAATGTTGAAACTTGATTTGAAGTTCACATCAACTATAGCTTTTGCTTGTAAAGATACCATTAAAGTGGTAGAATTAACACCACCTTTATCATTTGTGTGTTTAGACTGAGAAAAATGTATCACCAGCTGTGGAGGTCTTTTGCGGGGACCAGTGATATTTAACAACTACACTTACAAAAAGCTGCATGGTAATATAGCACGATTTGAGCATTGAAAAAAAAATCAGTAATACGTTTCCTTTGGATTTTTTGCACAATACCATGGGGTATCGCCATAGTATACTTTGAATTACTATGGAGCACCAAGTAAATACCAAATTATATAGATATGGTAATGGTAATCTACACACATACACACACACATGTTGGGTTTCCATGTTTTATGGGGACATTCCATAGGCATAATGGTTTTTCTACTGTACAAACTGTATTTTCTATCCCCTTACCCTACCCCTAAACCTACCCCTCACACAAAATATTTTTAGATTTTCAAAAAACTTCATTATGTATGATTTATAAGCTTTGGTTTTCTCATGGGGACCAAGAAAAATGTCCCCACAAGGTCAAAAATTACTGGCATTACTACCTTGTTGGGACATTTGGTCCTCATAACGTAGGGAATACCAGGGCTTGCATTCAAGTGAATACGTTATCTAAAAATTGTTAAAACAAGTTTATTAAGTGTATTTTTGTCTTAATGCACAGTCATATTGCCACTTTTGTTGTTAACTTCTTAAAATATTTTAAAAACCTGCCACTTCAGTACATCAAAGTACATTTGAATTAAAGATGCATTCTTTAAAAACTAGTGTTAATATCTTAAACAGTCTTGATTCTCAAGTAAATTTATTTTGCTTTAAAGATTTTTACCTTTTTTTGTAAAGGTACACTAGTGCTTAAAGTTGAACCTTTTATGGCTGTCATATCTACATTTTGAACACTAAACCATTACAGCCTTGAGTCTCACGCCATAACTGACCACTTCTAAGCTCGCACTCTTTCTGAATAACATAAGACTAGACAACGTTTTCAAAATACTATTGAACCTATATAACTTTAAGCTGAGGATTTGAAATTGCAGACCTTTAATCAGTACTGTAAATAATATGTTTATGTCATTCTGAATGATCTGCACATGTCTACGTCATCCAAAATGTCTCCTGTAATGGGTCGTAGCACATAGCTTGATTGCTAACCAAAGGCACATTAGAGCCAGTGAGTAAGCAATCATTAAATTCCTTAAGGAAAAGGGCAATTGGTTGTAGTAGACATTTTGTTAGTCTATAAAGCAAAAATACATTCAGTGTAAACACTTTAGCTTTATTTGATGTTTATAGGAAGGGAAGATGTCAAAACAACATCCACATACTGGCACAAATAAACACTCAAGGCACTGCCACAATCCTACAAATGAGCCAACAACCAGGTGCATAGGCTACATTGGGTTGCATGCTGGATAATGCTGTCATTTGTTGCTTTTCTCAAAACACAGATCAGATACAATGTTAATGTCGACGTTAAACAAAAGAATCACACGCAAAAAAAAAATACAGCACCTATAGCGCTTCTTGCTATCTCTAGATAGCAGTTTAAAAAGATTTGTACAGGAAATTCTTTAACTGCCAATAATATTTAGCCGTTCTAAGTGCACTTATTAAAAGTTATTTCCATTTTGAGTAACCCTACAGCACTCTATTCTATATAAGTGTGTGCAAGCGCTAGTATGCATACTGTAGAATACCAACCTTTAGTCTGCAGGCTGCCCAAGGGAGCCTCCACTTAGCAACAGGCTAATAAATCTTCGTTGGTGCAGTGTGCCGCAGAAAAATGGTATTGTTACTCGTATCCTATCTGATAACATACTCAAGTGTGTGCTCAAGGAAATATTATATATGGCAATTATAAATAGTGCTAATGAGATATATCTGTTTCTAATAATGCTTTACATATTTGGAGGCTTATATCAGACTCCACCTACAAAAAACTCTTAATGCTAAGCCATTGCTGTTGTGAAAGGACAATTACTTATTGTGCACTGCAAAATTAGAAGCACAAATTGCAGTCTCACTGGGAATGTTTTTACGGTGTACATATTCTTGATAAAATTAACCCATCTGCACAGTCTTGGGGAATGTCACGTGTGAATAAGGCTGCAGAATTTGGATCACACAGCGCCCACACGTGCCATTCACGGCTTTCTTTTTTATAGTACCTCCTTGTCTCGGCTTCTTTAAGCATGTTGGGCTGACACCATTCAGTCAGAGCTGTAATTGATCTTAAAGGAATAATCTCTTTCCTATCTCTTCTAGAAACAGGAGATATGTGGGCCACAATGGGAGGAGG